AGTTCTAGAAAATAGGTGGCGCCACACCAGTCACGTGACCTCGATGACGCAACAATATGTGCAGTTTGTAAACTAATAAAATGTGTTATTTGTAAAAAAAAAAACAACCTTCAACTGTTTTAATGACGGCAAATTTTTTTTTTTGCTTCTAATTATTTTTGTCGATGAAATATAATTTTCTCTTCAAGATTATACATAATATATACAACAGACTTAAGTCAGTAAATACTTTGAAGCATTCCAGTTTTCAATCTAACTCTGCCTGACAAAATCTGCAGGTGAAAGGAGTGTACATACATTTTTAAATTGTTGAACTTATAATATCTTGTACAATGAACATATGAGTGAAATAGGAAACCGTTACATGTTGTAGTTCTAGGACTTCTTCATGGTATTTAGCTGATCATAAGCTATACTACTTATGTGCCCGCAGAAGTATTGATTATGTCAGTGTGTAAACTCATCATAAAACCAAACAGCTGAATCCTGCCATTTTTTCCGAAGCCTGATGGTAACTTTTAATCGAAGGTTTTTAATTTTATGCTTTCATAAGTTTATAATATATCTCTTTATAAAAAAAACATTTTAAAAATTAAGACATGGGATTGCTATAATTGAAACATTTTATAAATAATGTTTTTTATTCCCTGTAAAGTATGTTTTTCATTTTGGCTCGAATGCTATACACTATAAATATAGTACTGTTTTTTGTTGTTTTTCTTTTTCCAGCTGCAAACTTGAACTGCAGCTGGCCTAGTAAAGAGATAATTGGATTTTCTAGATTTATAATAGCTAATAGTAATATTGAAGCCTCGATATAAAATAGACTTTGTTTACTTGTTACCTAGTTAGCCAATTTGTATTTGATACTTAAACTTTAAAGGTAGCTGCTAATCATTTGTGAAGAGAGGAGTAAATTGAAGACGAAAGAAGTTCCCGTTGGAAGATGAGCGTGAATGACACATTGTGGCAGTAATACTAACACCGTATATAAATATAATGGCGAACAGTTCGGAATTGAGCACAGGAAAGAGTGTATTTGTTTTGGCTGTCGTCATAGGGTGTTTTGCCGTACTTTGGCCCAAAATATTTTATCCGATGATGCAAACCGCTTTTTCAATAACAATGACCACATATGATAACGATGAAGGTAGGTTTTATGTATTTAAGAATTTCAACAGCATGTCTTAAACTGAACGTTAAAAGTTAAAGTTTAATTTTTAAACTTTAACTTTAATTTGTATTGCTATTATTATTATTATTAATAATAATAATACGAAATGATAGAAATTAGAAACTGTTGTGTAAGCCAATACATTTGCTCAGTTTCTGTTGCTTCTAAATGTATTTTGAATAACTTTTATTATAACAACAAATTCATTTATTTCTTGGATTATCTTTAAAGAGATGCTTTACAATCAGTAACAATGTCAGATGGAAATTGATTGGATTACAATTACAGTCCCATTAGGTTAGGGATAATGATCTACTGATATGACCACATAGAACTAGAAGTAGAACTTAGTATTACTACTAGTATAACTTAGAACTATACTGGCAGTATCAAAATATCTTTTGTTTAACAAAAACACCAAAATTTACTAGTGGCAGTGTAAAATTGGTAAAATAAATTTTGTTCTCATTTTAAATTTTATGGCATAAAATGTACAGATATATTATTATTAGAATTTTTATTTTTACTTCTCAGTGTGTGTGTATGAACAGCATAAATTGGAAAGTTTTCATCTTATTTTTATCAAATTTGTTGTAATGGTTGAATGCCCTCCACCAAAGGACCAGTTGATTAACTTCTGGTGAATGTAGGTCAAAGATTAAGGTCATACTGAAGTCAACCATATAACTCAAAACTTTCACTTTAATTTGATCAAATTTCTTGCAAAGGTTGAGTGTTTCTTAAGGACCAGTTGATTAAGTTTTGGTGAATATAGTAGAAAGGTCAGGGTTACATCTAAGGTCAACCATTCTCTGATAATGGTAGCAAATTAGGATTTAAAAAAATGGTGAAAACTTGTGTGTAAATAGAGATAGAAAGATTAAATTTGCACACCTGTATAAACAATTTTAAGGGTGAGGAATTTTTAGTGTATATTCTGATTGCTGTAAAAGTCTAAAATACTGCAAGGTGGAAGTTGCCTTTTTAGTAATTTTTTTAAAAGGTTATATATAAATAAAATTAAACTTTATTAGTTGCTGGAAAGTGGAAAAATGAATCAGCATACTTTCTAGTTTACCAATCCATAGTTTATAATTCATTACTAACTAATTATTTCACACAGAATACTCTTCTGTCTTTTTTTTTTTAAATAAATTTCATATTATTTTTACTTTGAAGAGGATAGCATATGTGTGTTTATGCATATGTGCTTTAATTATTCACTATATATGTAACCACAGATGCCAAACACAGGGAACAAGTGGCATGTGGCCCTCTCCCCACTTTGTGTTTTACCTAGTGTAAATAAAGTAGTATTAAGAACTATGTTAAGCTGATAAAATGATCAAACTTGTGATCAGATGTACATAACTGCGTGGCAATACCAATGCTTTTTAAATAACAAGTATTTCATACAATTATTTATATACATTCATTTAAGAATGATATTTTTTATATTGACATTTAAAATGTTTTCTTTTAGTTTTTGCTAATCAGAGCTTCTTGTCCACGATATAAAATATATTTGCCAAGTGAATGTTTTTGCTACTCATTTTTCAACAAAGTTAGGCACCCCTAAATGTAATGATGTATGTATATATATATATATATATACCAACTTGTTGTTAGGTGCAAGGATGCCAAACTGTGTTGTAAAGTAGGAGGTAAAAATATATATGTATGTGTGTGTGAAGTGTTTTAGGCTGTATATCAGTCATTTAATTCATTTATAATTATCACACTTACCACTTAAGTCTATATGTAACTAGCATATGTAAGTCACAAAAAAAACAGTTTATGTATTATGTGTAGTTATACATCATTTTAAACATCCAAGTTTAATCCTAGAAAATACTAAATCTGAAATTTAAGTTAATTATACAGTTACATGTAATTATTTTAATCAGTAAAAAAAGTACAGGGGAGCACTCTGGTTCATTCAGGTCTCACTACACCACTTTGTGCATGGGCATTTTGACAGAATTATATAATACTAGTAATGCAGATACATAATTTTATATATTTATCGATATACTGTTTTTATGTGTGTTTATGTTTACCATATAAGCTTATGAGATTTTGCTTTATCTCTGCTTACATTTTTTCTTCTACCTTTTCTCTTTCTAAGTTTTAATATAAAACCTAGGATAAGTTGCAGGTGTAGATATATATCAGTATTTACAATCAACCTGACATTTATATTATGTATCAGCTTTGAGTATTTGAAGATGTAGTAATTTTTTGTCATTGCTTCATGCACAAGTATTAATAAGTAACTATGTAATAGAAATATTACAACATTTCTTGTAGTGTGAAACCTTAAGTTATCTTTGGTCTTGAATAGAAAGTTTTGGCGAGAATAGCCATTCTCATATTGACCCTGAGATACTTCCTGCTCGAGTCAGAGCAGCAATGGGAGAAAGTCGTCCAGGAAGTCGACCACAAATTCATGAAGGCAGGGTAAATAATTTATGGAAAAGTTTTTGAAAACATAATATGGTGTAGTTTTTACATTTCATAAAAATACCACTCTTTTGTTGTATTACTGAATAAATTACGCTGTTTAAAACATTTAATGTATCAGAAATTTTCAATATTCTAATTATGATAAAGCACAATTACTGGTATTCAGTAATTTCAATGGCACCCATGACTTCATTTTTATGGAAAATAAGTGTCAGTAATCAGTTATGTGATTTAAAAAGCATATGTATTATTTTGGTGTTTATGTCTATAAATAATTATTTGGTATTACTGGCTTTTCAGCACAGATTGACCAGAAAATATTTGTTAATGGGGTGTGTAATAACCTCAGATATTAAACCAAATTGTACTTCATTTTGTCATGATTAAGAGGAAAGAATGAATAAATTAATTAATTCCTTCATCAGAACTGCATTCAGTTCATCAACACTCTTTAGAGGTGAATCAAATATTACCAAACATTTTTCCAGAACATCCCATATACCATCATTTCCCAAATTTTTGTCATCTCTTTAATAAATATGGTTTTTTTGCACCCCCTTTCCTTTTTTTTAAACGAGTGAAAGAGTGAGTTAAGTGACAAGATATAATACATGGATACACATTAAAATGCTATATGTGTTGTAGTAATTACTTATTATTTTCATTTATTAAAATGCTTAATTTTTCATTATTGCACTGTTGACTCTACACTAATTGCTCGTGCCCCCCCCCCCCCAAGAAATCATTTATGCCCCACTAGTGGGCATGCCTCACACTTTGGAAAACGCTACCATACACCATTCACATTTTATCAGTTTGCTTGGTACACTTTTCCTTCTTTCAGGAAGTTGCTAATCAGTTGAAAATACTGGAGTGCCTTTTTCCTTCAACCATTAGAAAAAACTGTGACCAGCATTAGGCTAAATCCCTAGATTGTATGGCATTCATAGTGCCATGCTGTAAAACATAAATATGAGTTTGACCATCAATGCTTGTCCATTCTCAGACAAGTATGCCACCACTGCCATGTGTAACTCTTTCCTTCATGATATTGGAGTTGTATTTGCTCTCAGGTGGTGTCTAAATAAATAAAGATTTTGTACCTGGCTGTAGTGTAAAGTATGATTTGTCTGTAAACAAGATATTCTCTCACATTTTGTTTGAACAGTCCACATTTTCCTATACTACTAAAAATAAGCTGTTTATGGTGGTGGATTAAAACAAAGAAATTCCCAAACTGTGGATCGAAACCCACTGGTGGGTCACAAGGGTTATTGGGGTTAGTTGTACAACAAGATCAAAGACAGTAAAACATAAGTGTATTTTTATTGTAAAATTAATTATGAAATATGAGTATTTGTGCAGTTTCATACCTAGAATACAGAAAACTTCACTTATTTCTTAAATGTTTTGAGCGGTGTATTTCACAATGCCTTACAGATAACTAATTACTTGAAACAATTTTGAAATAAATTTTATTTAATAAAAATTTGACTTGAATATACTGATAAAAAATTTAAAAACAAATAAAGGTAATCAGAATATTTGCTTCATGGTGATTCAGTTGTAAGTCTAAAGGTTTTTAGTGTTAAAAGCAGATTTCAGTACCCAGTGTGCAGAATACAGATAGCTCGTTTTGTAACAAGAAAGAAACAAAAAACAGAATATTTAGAATATTTTGTTTTGAATGTACACTTTTTAAATCATTAGTTCTAGAGATGAAGTCAATTGTTGTAATTAGCTATTTTCAAGTTTAACTAATGCGTCATTTAAGAATAAACTTTTATGAACGTTCAGCATCCACTAAAATATTATTGGCTTTGATACAAAAAACGTAAGGTATCTAATAATATTTTTAAACTGGTTACAGTATTAGTTGTTTTAATGTATATATATATATATATATATATATTTAGTGTATATATTAATAACATATTGGCTAATTTCCTTAGCTCATGTATTTAAAAATTCAAAATAAGTGTTATTAATTAACTTGTTTTGTTCTAGCCTTTGATGCACCCTGCTGCAAAACAGGGACCCAAAGTTCAACCTAAAAGTGGTGGAGCCATGGGCATCATAATGCCTATTTATACATTGTTAATTGTTGTATTCTTTTTATACACTATATTCAAGGTAGGAAAACATGATGCCTATTTATTAGATTGCTGTGTTGTTAATATGTATGATATTCATTGTAAAATATAATAATGCATACCCCTGTTACCTATTTCAATGTTACCCTATTCAGATGTACTATGTTCAAGGTATAAATTAGTAATGCTTATGTATGTGTGTGTGTATATATATAAAACAATCATTACAATAGAACTAAAATTAAACAATTACTTTCCATTATCAGTCCTAGTTGTCAACATTAAATCATAATGGATAATGTCTGTGGCCATAGCCCCAAAATACATCGGAGATATTCCATCTATCAGACAAAATCCAGATGCTGATGTCAAATTAGTCAGCAGCTATTGAAAATGAGTTAACGATTAGGAGTTGAGTGTTTACATCCACAGTGTGTCAACTCCTACTGCCTTTCACTCTCTCAACCAGTACACAAGTACACACACTGCAATCTGAATAAAGATTGTTTTTATTGTGTATCACATTTTGTTTCCGGTCCTTTTATTTCTTAGTACAGATGCAGTTAGTTTTAATGTAATTTACTATTATGTCTCAATTTATCTTTCTAAGCCATTAGTTATATAGTGGACCTACCCAGTTTACTTCTTTTTTAGACACACCTGAAAAGACAGTTACCCTTAAAGCTCAGATACAACCTCAAAATAGAAATAAAACCACCCTAAAAATCCTACAAGGTAAAACTCCCAACTTTCACCCTTTTATTTACAAAACAACATAGCATAATGTTTTGGGACAACATGGGACCTATTGGTCCATCTTGGCTGTGGCATCCTCTAAAATAAACTAAAACTATTAATAAATTAATTTTAAAAAATGGAGAACAGAACTAGTCTGTGCAGTATACAACTTAGTAACGATGACTGTTCAGCATCAAACACAAGTACACACACTGTAATCTGAATAAAGATTGTTTTTATTGTGTATCACACTTTGTTTCCGGTCCTTTTATTTCTTAGCACAGTCGCAGTTAGTTTTAATGTAATTTACTATTATGTCTCAATTTATCTTTCCAAGCCATTAGTTATATAGTGGACCTACCCAGTTTACTTTTTTTTTTTAGACACACCTGAAAATACCACAGAATAGGTTAGAAGGAAAACTTTTGATGCCATGACTGCAGGACATTGTGCAGTTTTTGTTTCCATTAATGTTTGTATTGCCCTTACTTGACTCTCTTATATAATCAAGTTTAAAGAAATTCTTTTGACTTAAAGAATGGTATTTTCTGCAAGTATAAGTACTCAAGACTGAGAAGGAGAATTACTGTATAAGAGAAACAGTTGTTGGTTATAGCTGAAGTCCTGTTCTAGATGTTGGACTATTGCCGATTCTGCAAATGTCCATGACATTGGTCTCTGTATTCAAAGACTTGGGAATATCATCCAATTTTCTCATGCACCCAGAATGGCAAATCGAGCATTTCCCTTGAGAATCTATCTCAATGCAAGAGAAGCACAGATGACCAAGGGTCTCTGAGGTGGAATGGCTCCTGATGAAGCTGAGATGATACGGGGCAGTCTGTACAGGACTTTCAGGTTGTTGCAGCCAGAATAACACAACACCACTACTGATTAAGGCTGACGAATAAGAACTGAAAATTCCAATTGTGGAAAGTCTGCTGGTCAGTGCTATTTTCTTGGTAGGTGAGACACTGGGCACCAACTATTGGAGACCATGAACTATGGGGCAGTTGAAAGCCTTTTCTGAGCTAGGAGGTATCCTACTAGGGTGACCATGGATTAAAAAGAAACCAGAAGTTGCACAGAGCTGATGAATGAGCTGCAAGGAGCAACTTGTTGCTCTGTAGTTCCAAACCAAAGACCAACTGTATGTCTAATGGTTGTAGTCCCAGAGTATGCCTACCACACCATTTGTTGCTATGCAACTCTAGACCAGAAACCAACTATATGTCTAAAGGTTGTAGTCCCATACTCACAACTTTAGCAGCATCTCAGCCAAGAATTAACCAAGAACTTGCAAGGAAGAGGCTTTATCTCACAACCAAAGGCCCTTGTGAATAAGACAAAGGAGATTTTTCTCCACTGTGTTCAAAGATATGGTGAAAGAAGACCTAGACTGTTTCCTGAAGCATTTCATGTGGATGATCTGTGCCATGGCACAGTAAAGCATACCTTGCAATGGCTTCTGCAGATTGTGAAGACATCCTTGTGGATGAGTTTGTCAAAGGTTTCCAGGGAAAACAGTATAGCATTAACTGGATGTAAGAGATGTTTTAATCCTAACAATGTCAGTTTCCATAGTGACAAGATGTAAAATGATGACTTTGAACCATTGGCAAAGAGGAAGAAGCCTGCAGTGGTAGCTGTTGTGGCCACCCTTCAGATGAACTGTTCTACCCAGGTACCTATACCATGCCTAGGGCTAAACATTCCTCCAAACATCTTGGTACTGTGATGCAAGTACACTAATTTCCAGTGTATGGGCAGAACTATCCTTATCCATCCTCCCATAATTGTTGTGTTGCAGCCTCTATCCATATGTCATACTGGAAGAGAGGATGAAACATATGCTTTGGGTGTGGTATGTTTTGTCATTTTCAAGTGCACTGCTTGTACTTTCCTAAACAGCAAGGTAGGTAAGGCTATTAGTTTTGACCAGTGGTTCAGGAGAACCAGTAATGTCCATACTATGCCTGTGGTTTATAAATTTATCTTGCATTTCTACCTTCTTGTATTAATATAGTATTATTTGGAATTTATCACTTATTCTGTATGTGTGTGCAGGTTTCACATAATACGTGGTCAAGAAAGTTGTTAAATTTATTCCATTTTAGCCTCCTTTGTTCCTTTGTCATTCTCTGGAGATAACATTTATTCTGTCCATGAGATATAGCTGTAATGTTCCACATTATGAAAGAATGTTGACAATAGTGACTTCCAATGGCAGGTAAAATGATACTTAGAGGTCACGACCTCCCTCATGTTTCAGTAGAATTGACCAAGGTTACATAGGTGGTGCTTGCATCCTGAAAATATAGTGTTGTAGATATTTGGTATATAATGCTATGATCTCTTAGCTTTCTCTCTCCCTCAAGATCAAGCTCTCAGTTTGGTAAGTGAAGTGTAAGTCATTTCTTTGTAAATAGTAATGCTCTTCTAAAGTTTAACCTGAACAAATTCTTATTAAAAATCTTTATGAGTTCCTAAGAGAGCTTATAAAGGTAATTATAAAGTAAGCATGCTATTTTTTTTGTCCTATACATACATTCATTTGATTATGTTTGTGGGTTTGAATAAAGATTATTTCATTGTGTTCTGTACATTTGTATCCAGTTTCTTTCTCAAACTTAGTCAGAGAACTCAGAATTACTTTATAATAAATATCTCGGTAAACCTTGTTATTAAAGGAAGCTATCTCCTTGTTCTAAGATTAACTCAGTTTACCTGAATACACCATGTGTTGAGCAGCAGGGTGGGTAACATTATCAATTTCAACCATCAGCTCAGCAGGTCTGGGAGAACTAAGAACAAATAGTAAATACTGCCACTACCATTTTGGAAAACTGGTGGAGCCCAAGTCAAGCCTGGCCACTGACTTGGGGTCACATGGCAGACAGCTTGCACCAAAATGTGTGATGATCAGCCCAGCTCTCTCAAGACTGAGCGAGGCTTGATATATTACCTTGAAGGGTAAAAGGGTAATAGATAGAGTTCTTGGTTGATACAGAAGTGGCCAGAACATTGGCAGATCTTGTGGTTTATCAGGTTCTGTAATTGAGACCAACACTTCAAACACTGGGTACTGACTTTGTTCTAGAGAATGGTAATAGACTAGACATGAGGTGGAGAGGTAGGTCTTGGCCTCTGTCTAGATGCCACTCACAGAATGAAGGTAGTCATCTCTGGCCATGGTTCTGGAATTAGCATTGTCATGATGTGTGCTATAGTGAGTTTCACCTTTTACCTGTGCAACCAGTAGATTGGTTATCCATGGGAGAGTTATCCAATGTTGGCCAGATCGAACCCAGGAGCCATGGATTGCACAAGTGTATTTGTCAGAAGAAACAACAGTACATCTGTATGCGTAAGTAGTGTTCCACGGTTTGCTCGGATGAAGTCTAATGTGTCAGTGCCATGTAACATGACTATAAAGCCAGTCCAGAAAGTGAGCATCATTAGCTTGATCACTATCTGTTTAAAGGGGGACAATATCCCAGTATTGTTTTGTAATTATGGACAATCAGCTATCCAGGTTTACAGTGGAATTATCATTGGTGCAGTAGATGAATTGAAAGTACATGGATGATAAACATCTGAGGTCATTGGTTGAGGGCTGTGCAAACAATCTGGACCCATTGCAGTGAAAGCAACTCGGTGACTTGTTGGAGGACTATAATCATGTGGGACTAGATGGCCAACAAGGTCAAACAAAAATAAAAACTCGCCACTATGTGTCTGACCAAGAAACCAATGTAACAGATTCCCTGAAGTTCTAAGGAAGTACATACATACACAGCATTTAGATATAGTGAAAGTTAAAGGACAGGATCTTACAAGAGAATGACATGTTATTGCCAGTGGTGGTTTCTAGGATAAAGGCATGTATGTGATGATTTTGTGTTGATTTGAGATGACTGAATGACATAATTCACATTTATGTCTTCCCTCTTGTTACTAACAGATGAATGTCTGGATTCATTGGAAGGATCTTGTTGCTTAAGCATTTTAGATTATTGCATCTGGTTACTGGCAAGTCAAGCTGGTTGACATGCATTCCTAAACTGCTATAAGCACAAGAGATGGCTTGTATGAGTTTTTCACCATGCTATTCAGCCTGTGTAACATGTCTGCAACTTTTGAGAAGTTAATGAAATTTACAACAAAGGGAGTGCAATGGCAGAGATGCAGGTCTGTGTCAATGATGTTTTGTGTTTGATTGCATGGTTAAATCTGCAGTTGAGGACCTGAGAATGGTATTCTAGACTTGAAATTGAAACTAGGCAGATTTGCACTCATGTACACAGAAGTGAAATTTCTCAGTCATATTGTAGGTAAAGATATACATCTTTAAGGCAAAATATTCAGCTGTTGAGGAATTAGAGTAAATGGAAATTGCAGGTAAACAACTAAAGGCACCATCCACATATGGGATTGTTAGGTCAAGTAACCTAGGAACATCAGCTCTCTTCGATACAGATCTAGAAGAGCTCAAACAATTAATTAGATAACTGTTAACTCAGAATGGAAGAAGTGAAATGTAGGACAAAAGATGTTTCGATGGCAATTTAAAAGGACATATTGTCAGGAACTAGAGATACATCTTTAATTAGAGAGCTCTTTATTGAAGGTGGAGAAAGTAAACCACAGAGAAGATGTTTTCAAAGGGTATATTGCAGAAACTGTAGTAAAAGGTATTAAGAAAATGAAGACTTCTCCCAAAGGATAACAGAAAAAGGAAACTGTTGTAAGTCTGGAAAGACATGGTCATTATTTCTGAGACTGATGAATGAACTGTTGATATTAAATCAATTATATGATATCCTGAGGATGAAAATATTTCATATACCCCAATTGAGATGAGAATATTTAAAGAAACCAGTCCATGAGTCAGTGATAGGAAACCTTGCACCTTGTTGATTGATGCTAGTTCTATGGCAACCGTTATTTGACCTGACTTGGTAATGAAAGCTGGGAAATTGCCTCTGGAGGTGAAGCAAGAAGATGGATTGGTTCAAACAAGTGGTTATAGAGTTTCAGCAAGAGGAAAGTTGGATGCTATGCTCACCTTGGAAAGCCTCTCTACTCAACATGATGTGTTGGTAATTGATACTTAGGAAGAGTGCATATTGGTAATAGACTTGCTTCAAACATTTTCATTGTTTATTATGATGACAAAATTCCTCTGCACTACATGATATTTACATCACCACAGGTTGAACTTCCATTGACAACAATAAGGAAAGCACAAGATAATAGAGATAACCAGCTTAAAATGTAACAAAGAATTGAGAAAGATGGATGGCTCCAGCCATATGTCGTTCATTATGATTGTCTTCAGAAGAATGCCAGCAGTAAAATGGCCAACTAGTTAGTTTCAAGAAAGTCTTTGCCAGAGACAAATCAACATACTGAAAAGTATGAGGTTCTTGTCAAAATCATTTTCAATGTATCACCAAAGGATGGAACAACTGTCACAGATTATTGTGATGGTCCATTTGAAGAGAACTCTCCCAAGTGACAAGAGAACAAGAAACAGTACTTCTGTTAGCTGTCAGAATTTGTGCATATTGTAGAAAAAATGTTTGTTATAATTTTATTTAAAAGATAATCTGAACATTTTTTACTTTTGGCATTGCTAAAGTCAAGATGATCACATGGACCCTGTTTTGTTTGTTTTTAAAATATCTAGCAATCCCCATTGATCTCATGTCAGTCAAATAAATTTAAAATCAAATAATGAAAAAATGTTTTACTATCATTGACAATAATGTTTTTTATTGAGAATGTTTTGAAATTTCAATTAGAAGTAATTAAGTACCAGTTAGTCAGTTTATTCATGTACATATGATTAACAAAAATAATAAACAGTAAGTAAAGTTGACTTATCAGAATATTTTCCCTTCACCTACAATACTCATTAAACCTAATGAAGATATCTTGTTGAAGAAAATTTCTGTAGCTTTCAAACAAACATAATTTAACATGCAAAGACTTTTATATATGAAAAGAACATCTAAAAAGTATAAAACATATTCCAAACTCCTTGTTTTATTCCTAGGTATACAAAACTTCCCCTTGAATGCCTTTAGCCAATGTTACAGGAGTTCTGACCAGCATTTCCTATGAAAACATACATTGCTGCTTGAACCACTTTATTTACTATGAAGTGAAAATTCTAATTTCTGTTTTATCCAATTTCATATTTAATCTTTTTAGCTATATCCAAAGCTGTTTCATTAGTAAATGATCAAATTGCTTAATGTGGCATCATAAAAGGGCTGCCAGCAAGAGAATCACTTGAAAATCAAGAAATGGATAGTATATCCTCAAAGAGTGATTATTTCTTAGTAAATTTAAGGCTGTTCTTTTGGTTGAGCAGAAAAATTATAAAAAAAAAATTAACACATTTGTTGTCTACAGGCAAGACTCCTCAGAGCTGCACTGAAATTAAAATTTGAAAATTTTTTCATTTTTGTTTATGAATTACATTAAATGCTACAAAATGACAAAATATTGATTATCAAAAATTTTGAGTTATGCACTATTGAAATAAAGTTAGAATTATTATTTTTTACTCAAAATTCAGTTTGAAAAAATTTAAAGTGTCAAAAAATTCACTCTGTGAAAGTTGTGGTGATAAAATATGAAAAGCAAGAGAAAACCCTGAAAAGTTCACACAATATCCACACCATAAGCCACAAAACAAAACCACCAAAAAGATTTGGTGACTGGGCAGCTTGGTTACAATAAGAAATGAAAAAACATTGTTTTGTTAACCAAACATTGTGGTTGTACTTTGAATTTTACATATTTCAGTAACAATTGTAATGATGAGATTTATGAATATTAATGTTTTCAGTTGTGAAGTGTTGCTTTGATTTTAATTATGGAACTTTATATTTAATATGTTATTGTTTTCTATGTGTTATAGGACTGTTTGAAGTACTTCATAATCCAGGGAAGGTTTTAGAACTGTGTGATATGACTAGAATTTTTTTAAAAGTTTAGAAAACAATTTTAACTATTTATAAAAAGCAAGTTTGAATAGATTGGATTATTGAATTTGTTAGTTAGTTAATGAGTAATCAGTGTATTGTTTCATATGTTTATCTTTTCCTGCCAACCAGTTAGTTAGTTTAGTGCTAAGAATAGTTTGTCTTTCAACAGAAAAATAGATATACAGAATTAGCAAGTAAGTGGACTTTGTGTTAGATGTAGTTTACTTGTGAAGTTAGGCCTATTGGTAAATGTTGATTATGCTAAACAAAAAACTTAAAGAAATAAAATGTTTTATTATCATTAAGTGGACTGGATTTTGCACTTGTTTTTACAGGAAAATCCAAGTGAATCTGCCAAACAATAAACTAAATATTAGTCATTTTAATGAATAAGGTATATATGGGATTGAATTTAAACCATGTAAAGAGAAAGTTGTGACTTTGAACAGTACTGTATTTCTAGTGTGGAAAATATACTAAAGTACCATATTATAGTATGTGATTGTTCCTAGTTTATATTACAAAAATGAGCAAATGTTCTTTATTATTCAGTTTGTATTTAAAAAGCCTGCTGATGAGGAAACATTGAGACAGCCACTAATCAAAGACTTTCACATGGATCATGAACATCGTAAGTATATCCTTGCTAAGGAATATGATGAGGAGAAAAAAAAAGGAGCCAAGTCGAAGAATGTGGAAAATAAAACAAAGAAAATGTTGCAGGAGTATGGGAAAACAAAAGGTAGCATATTAAGCGTTTTATACTCTGATGTAATGCAAACTACAGAACTCTATTTTGTTTAAAGATATACATTTTCTAACTTATTAAACCTTAGTGTTCTCATTAAATGTCCATAAAATATATATATATTTACATTTTGGGGGCTTTTGTAAAGCCAAATGATATCATTATGTTTGTTTTATATATGCACTTATATTGTTTTATATAAATTATGTATCATGAAAGCTTTTAAATTTAAATTGTAATCTCATACTTCTAATAGTTATTTGCATCCATGCATACACAAAGTGACAGTGAACATCATGAAACTCTGGAAATTTGACATCATATTTCTAGAAAAGTTTTAAATTTTGTAAGAAAAAAACTTAATACTGGTTGCCAGAACATATTTCAACAATGCCAAAGGGTCAGTAGTTTTACTTCAGTATGTGAGTTGTATTATTGTGGTACATCTAGGTGAAACTGAATGAACATTACAGCTGTTTTAGATTGGTCCATCACACAACAGAAAATTCACTCAAGATATTGATTACAGAGAAATTCTAAACCTCTTACTAACTGAGTCAGTGTAAAACAAAATAATGAGGCTGGATATGAAACATGAAACAAAATGCACAATCTTTGTTGTACGCTAAATTACAGACATAATGGCATAGTTGCTTGAATGTTAAACATGATGGACCATCACACTACCTAAATACTTTCAGTTGTTAACCTTTCAGGATTCTGTTCAGAATATATTCACTAAAGGTGATGTTCCAGACAGACTGACAAATGTAATGTTCCTTAGCATCTAAGAAACCTCGCATTTACCAAGGGTGACCATTAAATTTATATCCATGTGACTGATCATTTTCATCACAATATATATGAGGCTATAATCTTTGGATATCACTTGAACTACCCCTGAATGACACAATTGTGTCAACATCCTTACACAACATGCAGAATTCTACAATGACTTTCTTGGGCAGAAAAGGTATTATCCACTTAGTGAACAACAAAGGAACAAAGAAAGCTCAGAATGGAATCAACTTAATGGCTTTCTTGACCATGTTTTGTGTGAAACCTGCACATATACAGAACAAAGAATAAATTCAGAATAAGTACTAAGATATTATAAGAACATATAAATGCGTGGTATATTCATGTATCACATTATCACTGTGTTAGATTTATTTATATAAAATAAAAATTAGTTTAAAATTTTTATTTGCTAAAACATTTTTCAGCATGTCAGTTATTTATAAAAGTTATTTTCAGTTAATTAATGATATTAAGTAATAATATAAATCACAAAATGTCGGATATAACAATAAAAACTGTATGTGTACTTGTGTGTGGTATTATACTTGTTTATTCTGGCAGAGTTGGTTGTTGATTGGTAAATCAGCCATGTAAAGTAATGGTTTTGGTCTTAATGTGTTAGGACTAACCAACACCCTAAGAATATTAAGCCAGAGAGATCAGTCTTAATGGTTTTCTTGACCACATTCTGTGTGAAACCTGCACACACACACACCGAACAAAGAATAATTTCAGAATATGTGCTAAAAGATTATAAGAAGATAGAAACTCATGGTATATCCATGTACTACTTTATCACTCTGTTAGATTTACTTATATAAAATAAAAACTAATTTTACATTTTTTATTTGCTAAAACATTTTTCAGCATATCAGTTATTTACAAAAGTTATTTTCAGTTAATTAATGATATTAAGTAATAATCTACAGGTAGTGGCCCAAAAAATGGAAATACCAATGTAAAGTCCCTTAACAGGGTGTTGGGCCATCAAGTTCGGCCAGTACAGCCTGTATGCGCCATGGCATAGAGTCTAACAGTGTCTGGAATTCTGCAGGAGGAATGTGATACCATTCTTCCACGAGAAAGTCGATCAACTCTTTCCCAGTTGATGGAAGTAGAAAATGGCGTCTCGGGCATCGTTCCATCATATCCCATACATGCTTGATTGGGTTCAGATCTGGTAACTGAAAAAGCCATGACATATGGATAACATCAGTATCATGTTCCTCAAACCATTTGGGGACTACTTGTGCTCTGTGGACAGGGGCATTGTCATCTTAAAAGACACCCCTCTCTGCATGACAGAAATGATGTAATATGGGGAGAAGATGATCACTCAGTACCATTAAGTAACGATTAGCATCGACCTTGCCTTCTAAGAGTATGAGTGCACCCAAACCATGCCAGGAAAATGTGCCCCACACCATTATGGAACCATCAGAACCATTCAC